GCTCAGTATGGATAAGATTAACTTTGAGCACATGATTAAAGTACCGTCTGCCAGGTTTTGCCAATATACAGTTAATGGTTTGTGGTTAACATGTCCTTTGCGGAGAGATACTTTGAGGCTATGTATACACCCTGCTTCTCATTATACTTTCATCCACTAGTTTTACCATTCATTGATGATACTTGCCTGCAACAATTAATCTGCAGTGTTTGCCAATTAGCAATTTTCTACTTCCATCATACCTGTTACATTTATCAACTAGAATTCTACTACAAGGAAGAATTTTCTTTCTTCTCCATGTATTTACATAGTCAATTATTTATTTATATCAATATGAACTCACAAGTATTTCTTCTCTGAGTAATTTTATAATGGATTATAATCCATTCCAATCACTTATTTTTTACCCTAATATTATCTAAGATTTGACTATTGGGAGTTACTTTAAGTTAATTCTACATCAGGGTTCTTAACAGATGAATTTCAGTGGGCTTTGAATTTCTGAAATGGTATGCACTATTTTGTACGAAAATACATTTTGCATTATTATCCTCAAATTCATAAATAATTCTGTGACTCTAAAAAGATTAGAAAACCATTGTTCTTATCTACAATACATACATTCTGACTCCTATATATTATTTTGACTAATTAGAGTTTTGAGGTTAGGGTTGATAATTACGGACCAAGTCAGAAAATTTTAAAAAGTCTCTGCCTGCTTACAGCTCGGTGAAGGAGACAGGCGAGCTCCAAGAGGGTTAAGAATTTCCAATCGCGCTCACTGGGATAGCCTAAAATAGGCCTTGCACATAGGAGGCAATGGATCAGTATTACCTAGCAACTTACCTAGCAAGTGAGCCACATTATAAAACTGTAAAACCAAACATTCCTTAATATAACAAGATATAACATGGGATCCTAACAAAACCTTAACATATATCACAATCTCTTATTTGAAACATAAAAAGCTTATGAAGAATCCAAGTACGAGCAATAATCATGTTGTTTTACAATATATTCGTATCTGTTTATTTCTTTTTTATAGATAATGCTTGGAGAAATTTCACAATCTTCAAAATAGAGAGTTAAAAATAAAAGGAGATGGAAGATGTTTAATTATTCTCCCCAATGATTCACAAAGGAGAGGGGGTGATAGAGGGTATATCTCCCCTCTTAGAGAGTCATATCAAAATCATCATCAGTCTATTCAAACTTGTTCACTTGACCACTAAACCCCCAGAGAAAAGTGCCAACTTAGTAAGCTGCCTTTTCTGTGTCCAAACCCCCAGATCTGCATGGCAAATCACCTATAGAACTTTACCACATTCATATGCACAGTCATCACTATCATTAGGAAACATGGCCCTGAAATAGATTAAATATATTTGTGTCCCAAAGGTGACCAATTTACATGGCTAATTTAAAATAGCACATAAATGAAAACTATATAACATTACTCTTTACGTATAATATATTGTGTTTTAAGTGTCTTTCTTTCTTTCTTTTTTTTTTTTCCTTTTTGTCTTTTTTTCGTGACCGGTAACAGGATCGCAACCCTCGGTGTCGCGCCCGTACCACAACCGGCAACGGGATCGCAACCCTCAGTGTCGCGCCCGCACCGCGCTCAACCAGTGAGCGGACCGGTCTCTATATGGGATCTGAACCCTCAGCGCCGCCACGCTCCCAAGAGCCGCACTCTACTGAGTGCGCCACCAGGCCAGCCCTTAAGTGTCTTTCCTGATTACACTTAAATTATGATTAATAAGTTAAAATGAAATATAACAACCAGTTTCTCCTCCCAATAACCCTGTCTTCTTTTAAAAATTACCATCACCACATTATCACTATTTTACACTATAGTACAAAATGTAAATAATCTTTAAAAATTTACCTCAATTTTTTTAACATTTTAAAGTCTCTGTTTCTTTTAGAAAATATGGCAATATTTCCTATCTTGCAATATAGTAGACATCCAATAATTGCTAACTTATTCTTAAGCACTACTTTCATTATATCATTGCATTTATCATGCATATCCTTATTTTAAGTCCAAAATTTCTGCCTCCCAAGATTTTTCATAATCTACCTCTACATTATTTATATACATTTGTTCATTTATCCCTTCTTTCATTAAAAGGACATTTAACATTTAATAATTTAAGAGCCCTTTTCAAGATAAGAAAGTATGAAATAATAAATACAAGCTTTCCTTAAAAAAAAAAAAAAAAAAGCCCAGTTTAAATTAAAGGGACGTCATGAAGCAAAGCCCTTGCACCTAAAAGTACTCCCTTAATTCAGGAACTGTATAGTAAATACCATCTGGGTTCTGATATGGAAACTAAATCGACAACCAGGTAAACTAAAGGAAGAATATATTTGCTGACTAGTCTCAGCTGACAAGTAATTTTAAAAGAGACCCTGCTCCTTTCTCTGCCACATGGACACCCTTCTCCCCAAATCACTGCAAAAAGATAGAAATACTTTGCTGCCAGTTTGCTTCTATAGTTTCTGTATGAACCTATCTGACATTTCAAGAAAGCATCTATGTCTGTGTAGGCCTTGGGTTTCAGGAGCCATAGGTTTAGATAACCATGGGAAGTCATAAAGCATGGCTAGCACAGGAGATACTTACTTGAACACTGTTATGAAAATGAATTTTTCTGGCCTTGAATTTTCCATGAGAAATTTTCATGGGAATAGCATTGCTGGTTTCTCTTCTTGCCTCTTACTCTTACCTGACTGATGAATTTGAGAGAGGGTAAAGAGCATGCTTAGCTCAGTGTTTTGCATCTCAGTTCACAGTAGGGTGATGGTGGTGTGGGGTAGAGGAGGAAGAGAAGAAGGGATTCTGTCTGTCATGTCTAAAGCTGACTGCCTGACCCTAGAGAGGAAACCTGAAATTACCAGTTGGACAGAGATGACAGTTGGAAATAAGATTAATTTAGAACAAGGTTTTTAAACCTCAGCACTGTTAACATTTTAGGCCAGATAATTCCTAATTCTGTGTTGTGTGGAGCTGCCGTATGTGTTGCAAGAGGTTAAGGAGCATCCCTGGCTTCTCCCACAAGTGGTGGTAGCACCTGTCCCCCCCACCCCCTTGGTGACAACCAAAAATGCCTCCAGACTTTGCCAAATGTTCCCCAGGGCCAGGGGTGGTGACAAACTATGCTCATTTGAGAACCACTGATTTAGAATGATAAAAGCCTTATGACTATACACTTAAGTCATGTGCAATTCAGCTCTCATCAATAATAAAATTATTTTATTCTACATATGTGTGATTTCCATGTCCATCTTTCAGTTGCTTATGACCTTGAGAAGGGAAGGGAGGAGTGTTGTTATTAATTCCCCAAGTCCCCACTTACATTAATTACTTCAGATGCAACGAACTAATTAAGTATTAATAATTATTTTCTCTCCTGCGGCTCCATTCTTTGAGGTTCTATTAACTTTAGGATAATTTGGTATTTGAGACAGAGTCTCAGTCTATTATCTAACTTTTTTAATGGACTTATAAACAAAAGTCCTTGACTGTTATAAAACCTAAAATGCAGTGCTTTGTTTATTCTTTGACACCCTCCAAACTGTACTTGCTCTCTGATGAATATACTATATCCATTCCTACATTCTTATTGATAGATTCTACCAAGAAACCCTGTATATTTTCATGTGCTCTTCAAAAAACAAAGAAATAACAACAGAAAAACAAATCCCTAAAAACACAGTTTAACTCCTAGCTTCTTGATTACAGAATTAACGAACATCTTGTTGAATCTTTCAATTTTATAAACATGGAAATTAAGTCCCAGGAAAAAACATGATTTGTCTAAAATCACAGAGCCAACCAGTAGTAAAGCTAGAACTGAAACCTCAAGCTCCTAAGTCCCAATCTAATACTCTCCTCATTTCATGATTAGATGACTGCAGCTATATCTCCTTTTTCTAAAGTGTTAGAGCATTTACGACATAGTGCCTACAATTTAAGTCTTAATAACAGCATGCGTTTGATTGCTTAACATTTTTTTCCATCTAATTATCTCATGTATTTATCTTTTCTCCTTGACTATTTATAAGTTCTGTGAGAACAAGGACCATATCAAGCCTTCGCTGCATTACTCCAAAAGCCTTCTGTAGTTCTGAGCACCAGTTAGGGGTCCAAGAAGTCTGTACTGACTGGCTGCCTCCCTAGAGGTAGAAGAAAGCAGCCCAGGGGTACAATGAATGATGCAAGTGAAAATAGAAGCTCTGTAGAAATTCTTAAATTTTAGATGATTTAGGAAGTAAAATTAGACAAGGAAAACTAAAATATGGTTGAGTATTTATGCATGTGTACATGGCACTTTACAAAACACATGACATGTATTTACTTATTTAAACTCTTCATTCTTTTTCTAATCCATGTTACCCAATTAGCAAGTCATACAAAAAGGACAAATTTAAAGAGTCCTTTAGCAACTGCTGTGTGGCACTATGCCAGTAATTGCATGCTCTGTAAATATACTACTTTTAGTCTTGTAATGTTGAAAAAAATCATATTTGTTCAAAATCTCTAGCCAGAATCCACACAGAGTTATCAGGCATAAATCATTCACCATCCTGGGATACAGAACGATTCTGAAAAGAACTATTTCATCCTTCATAGTCCATATTAAGTCAGGTGGACAAAGTTCTGAGAGTTTTGATTATTCCTGGAACAAAATGAAAATCATAATTCATGTCATAATTCTATCTCATTATGGCTTATAATATTTATGATTTTCTCTTGATGACAATAGAAAACTAGCTGATTAGCCAAAAAAACTTTTGCTTCATCATTCCTTTAGTTTTGCATTCTTGTATTTTAAACATGTAGATCAACATTTAAATTTAATGTGGTTACGCACACATTTCAGATGTGAAGCACAGTCATAAAAGTTCTCACACAGGTTTCCAAAGGACACTAACAAAACAAGAGAAGTGAATTGAAAGATCAAAAGCCTCAGAAAGGAGTCACTACTTACAATGTTCATCAGGGTGAGGAGGTAGTTTTGGACGTGCTCTTTGCCATGGAAACGGACCACAGAGTCATCCACTCCCAGCAGCACCTCGATGTTGTAATCGTTTTCTCCCGCGTGTCTGCGGCGCCTTATTGTTTCATTCAGCTGCTGGTCAATGCCGCTGTAAACTGTACCTAGATCATCAAGGCCTTCCAGATCCGACTCTATTAAGAAACAAAAGGAACCCAGGCATTTCAGTTTCCCCAATGGGCCTTCTAATAACTTCTCAGGAAAAAGAATCCTCTTGGGGGCCTATTATTATAATCCATAATCCTCAAGATGCTGTTCAGTTTATTCCTTCAACAACATACACATACATATGATCAGACAGACCTCGAACAAATTCAACACAGAACACTGAGGGTAAGATAACATTATTGTACAGAGAGCAGCGCTACCGTGCCAGGCTGATGTTCCACGAAGGTGAGCGTGGTTTAGTCTTTCTCCTAGCTGCATCCCCACTGTGGAGCAAAGGCAGCGAGAGCACAGAACACATCATAAGTAATTACTAAATAAATGGAAACTATAAATGAAAGGCACATGTCAGTATGTTTACAGTGATTATAACTTAAGTTACTATAATCATGGAATATATAATCTGTGTCACATAAATTTAAATTGCTTCTCTTCCCAGTAACTTTAATTTAAAAATCAAATTATAGCATGGCAACACAACAGTATCTAGTAGGATAATTACTGGTCAACATGTTTTACTTGGTTTCTTCTGAGTATGGTTTTGTAGTGAATGCTACTAGGGAAGAAGTGTATATATAAGGCCTATTCACTCAATATTACAGATCACCACATTTGTATGGACCATCATCTGGATAGCAGGTCATCAGTTGCTAAACATCTGTGAGGTATCAAAGTAAGAAGTCAGTCAGAAAATGACCTATATTCAAGGAAAATAAAAGGATATGTAATTTTTTATTTTATGCAGTTTAAGGAATTTCAATTTTTTACTTTCTAAATAGACATTTCACACACACACATATTTATGCACACAGATACACATATGTGTGTACACATTTATGTACACATATACACACACACATATATACATATATATGAAGCAAAAGAATGACAGACATTGTCTAGTGACCTCTTGGTCTGCCTTCGGATGACTATTTTTGATGAAGAAAATATTTTTATGAGTTAAAAAATAAAATCTATCATTTGGAAACTAAAATTAAAGAGATTATTCAAAACTGCTGGTGTAAAAACTGAAAATATATTCATCTCTATTTCACATACATACAACTTGGAAAGGATTTTGTTTTATCCTGCTTTGATGTCTAAAACAACCACATATCTAAAAGTGAGCTTAATAAAACCAACTCTGACTCATACTTTATATGGAGGTTTATTTAATGCTGTACTGGGGCCTGTAAGCCATTAGAATCAGCATCTGACATTAATGAACAGGTATTTTCCCATACACCTTTGTGGTTTTAATAAAGTTGCAGGGGGAAAAGGTGTCTCTTAGCCAGGAAGATTGATGACCATGCCCTAGCTACATGGGATTAGAAGTAATGAAAGTATAGATCCCACTCACACCCTTGCTTCCTTCAAAAATACATAGAAACACCAACACCCTCCCCTACAAGTATGGGCATAAGCTCTGAATATGACTACTCAGGTTTGAAAGCCGTACTGTAATTCACTTTGACCCAAGCCCAACTGCTAACTCATTAGCTGGGAATTTTTTCCTCACCAAGGAATCACATTAGTTCCACAATACATAAATAACTCTCACCATCACCCACATCAAAGAGAAAGCTTTCCTCAAAAGTTGTTTTCAAGAGCTACAAACCCACACTGAGGGCAAGAGACTATACCTGCAAACAGCTTTACTATTCAACCTTAAGTCTTTTCATACATTTGAGAATGTGAAAGGTTGCGATAGCTACTGTACAAATAGGAAATTCATACATGAGCATTCAGTTCTAAAAATGGCTTTTTTGGGGGGCAGAACTGTCAGAGACAACATCCAATGGAAATATACTAGCAATATCATTATATCATTAAGCCCAGTGCATGAATGAAGAGGACTGAATATTTATTTCAGAAAGACTTCATTCTGCTCTAATACCCCTTTGGTTTAGCCTTTGCATCCCTCCTTAAATATGTGGTTTTCTGGTAAGAGAGGATAATCTCTCTCTTTTTTTTTTTGCTGCATAAGAATCCTGGGAGGAAAGAAGGAAGCCTTTTAAAATCAAGAACAGTTTTATTCCTGTTTTCCCTTGTGCTGTGCAATGTTTTTTGTTTGTTTGTTTGTTTGTTTGTTTGTCTTTAACAGAAGCCATTTTCCCAAACTCATTCTGTGAGGTCAGCATCACCCTCATACCAAAACCAGACAAAGATACAACAAAAATAAGAAAATTACAGGCCAATATTCTTAATGAACATAGACACAAAAATCCTCAACAAAATATTAACAATCAGGATACAACAACACATCAAAAAAATTCTATACGATGATCAAGTGGGATTCATCCCAGGGATGCAAAAGGATGGTTCAATATATACAAGTCAATAAATGTGACACACCACATCAACAAAACCAGGGACAAAAATCATATGATTATCTCAATAGATGCAGAAAAAGTATTCAACAAAATTCAACATTGCTTCATGATAACGACTCTCAGCAAATTAGGTATAGAAGGCAATTATCTCAACACACCAAAGGCCATATATGATAAACCAATCGCCAATATCATTCTGAATGGTATTGAAACAAGACAAGGAGGCCCACTCTCACCACTCCTATTTAACATAGTATTGGAAGTACTAGCCAGAGCAATCAGGCAAGAGAAAGAAATAAAAGATTGGAAATGTCAAAGTTAAACTGTCCCTGTTTGCAGATGACATAATTTTATATACAGAAAAACCTAAATACTCTACAAAAAACTCTTAGAGCTGACTAACAATTTTAGTAGTGTTGCAGGATACAAAATCAACACTGAAAAATCAGTAGCATTTTTATACTCCAATAAAAAGTAGCAGAAAAAGAAATCAAGAACACAAGCCCATTTACAATAGTAACCAAAAAATAAAATACCTAGGAATCAATTTAACCAAGGAGGTGAAAGATCTCTATAATGAGAACTACAAAACACTACTGAAAGAAATTAAAGAAGACACAAAAAGGTGGAAAGACATACCATGCTCTTGGATGGGAAGAATTAACATCATGAAAATGTTCATGCTACCCAAAGCAATCTACAGATTCAATGCAATCCCCATCAAAATACCAATGACATTCTTCACAGAATTAGAAAAAAAAATCCTAACATTCACATGGAACAACAAAAGACCCCGAATAGCCAAAGTAATCCTGAGCAAAAAAAAGCCAGAGGCATAACACTACCCAACTTCAAATTCTACTACAAAGCTATTGTAACCAAAACAGCATGGTACTGGCATAAAAACAGACACTTGGACCAATGGAACAGAATAAAACACCCATGAATCCACCCACTTACTTATAGCCAACTGATCTTTGAAAAAGGCAACAAGAACACACATTGGGGAAAAGACTGCCTCTTCAATAACTGGTGCTGGGAAAATTGGACATCCATATGCAGAAGAATGAAACTGGACCTGTATGTCTCACCATATATCAAAATCAATTAAAAATGTGCAATGTTCTTTTCTATGTTTCCTAAAGTGGGCAACGTCACACATTTCAAAGAAATATAGTGGGATAGCTTCTGGCACTTTTCACTTACACACATCATTATAATTACAGACAGCTCTGAAGATGTGAAATATCTTCATTCATAATGAATTTGTCTTAGTATGCCTAATTTATAACATAATGGTCAAGTGACATGGGCTTTGTAATCAGACATACCTGGCTTCAAATCTTGGTAATGTTACATCCTAATAGTGTGATTTTACTTAAGATGACTAACCTCTGACCTTCAGTTTCCTCATCTGTAAAATGGGATAATAATACCTATTTTTGCGGAGTTACTGTGATGAGCTAATGGTGAAAACACTATACACAGTGCGTAGATATAAGTGCTCTACAAATAGTATTTACTGCTACTACTTATGATGATAATGATGATTTTCCCACTAAGAGAAGCCTTCATTTTTTTTTTTTAAAGATGACCGATAAGGGGATCTTAACCCTTGACTTGGTGTTGTCAGCACCACGCTCACCCAGTGAGCTAACTGGCCATCCCTACATGGGATCCGAACCCTTGGCCTTGGTATTATCAGCACCACACTCTTCCAAGTGAGCCACGGGCTGGCCCGAAGCCTTCATATTTTTAAGGATCTGTATATTTTATTTTACATATCATAAATCATACAGTTTCAGTTATTTTAAAACAGGTGAGAAAAGAATCTGGAATTAGTGAAGGGAAATCCGAACTGCTGATAACCTTAGAAAGAATAAGGGTAACAATATTTACTGCACAGCAGAAAGAAGACAAAAGGAGAGAATATAAAATGTTTACTTTCAATTAAAATTAAGATACATAATACAAAATTAGAAAGAGCTAGTTTACAGATAGCACTTACCTTCACTCAACCATATTTATTCAGTACCCACACATATGTAGATCCTGAGAAGGTAGAGAAACCACTCCATTTCTCTAGGTATTAATCCTGGGAACCACCCAGTCATATTGGATTTATATTCAGAAAGAAACCAAATTCGTATCATGTAGTGACAAACAATTATATAGGCTTGAATCACTTTCACATTTGCTAGGTTAAGTAGACCTAATCAGGTACCAAAACATGCCTTTTAGTAATAGTCCACACCTGTGTAATGCTTCACAGTTTAAAAGATGACAAAAATCTTAGATGCTTCTGTATCTAATGCTATCAATATCCCCAACATAAGACATAAGAATAGGAACAATTAAAGGTGAATATCATGCTAGTCATGACCAGATATTCTTCTAGTGAATCTGTTTACTGTTTTGAAGTACTGAAAAGAATCACATAGAAGGCAGTAGGCAAGTTCAACCAGTGAAAGCAGAGTGTCAATTTGCTTTGGGTGTCAAAAATTATGGGTCGTTGGTGGCACCTTGCTGGCATTCTGCTACACAAGTGTTAAGGTGACTTGAATAGTGGAGGCTGAGTTGGGCAGCAGAGACTGATGTGATAAAAGAATTAGCAAAAAAAAAAAAAAAAAAAATTCAGTTTAAAAAAAACCCCAACACATGGTATCCCAAAAGGGCATTAAAAAAAAAAAAAAAAAAAAAAATTCAGTTTAAAAAAAACCCCAACACATGGTATCCCAAAAGGGCATTAAAAAAAAAAAAAAAAAAAAAAATTCAGTTTAAAAAAAACCCCAACACATGGTATCCCAAAAGGGCATTAAAAAAAAAAAAAAAAAAAAAAATTCAGTCTAGAAAGAACCTCAACACATGTGATCTCAAATGAGCATTAAAAAAGAAAAAAGAAAAAGAGCACTCTAAGCATTTTTCTAGGAAAAAGCAAATTACCTTTTAGTGTTAAATATAGGATTGTTAGTGTTAAATCAGAATTTTGAACTTACTAAACAGACAAAGTACAATATAACTTGCTTTGCTGATTATGAATACTTGGGCTTGAAACATTTTAAGGATGGAGTATGACATCTTTATATGCTTAATGATATTTACAGGAAATCAAAGTGCAGGATTAGTGAAATTGCCCCCCACTCCAGAAGAAATTCTAAGGGTCTGAAAAAGGAAGCAGAAGACAAAGGTAAAATTGGAGAGGTACAAGCTCTGATCAAGTTCTGAATCTAATACCAATACATTAGGGTTGGAAAGCAATCTTAAGCATACTGTGAAAGAGACTGTGATAGAATCATCTACCCAATACCCATTCTCTCCTTCCTAGGGGGCAGAATGTCAATTTTATTTGAAGAGGCAATAAAACCAGCTAAAAGTTATTCTCAGTCTCTCTTGTGACTAAGGATTACATGTGATTAAGAATTAGTCAATGAGATCTAAGCAGAAGCTTTGCTTATACTTGGTGGCTTACAAAGAGGGCTTTTATTGGCTTACATGGGAGGCTTCCACAAAGGCTCTTCAAAGGAGGCGATGCATTCTGGTAGGTGTGCCCCTTTGGCCCTCCACTCAGTATTCCTTCCTGCTGCCTGGAACTTGAACCTAAAATCAAGTGCTCTATGAGGTGACCTGAGAATCAGGGCATGTTCTGCATATAGTAGGGTAGCAAGCATGAAGGAGTCTGACTCCCTGATGACCGTGGGGCTGCCATACCAGGGCTGGATTACCTAGCACCAGACTTTGTTATGCACAAGAGTTATAAATAACTCTTCTATCATATTCAGGCCACTATTCTGATGGGTTTTCTTTTATATGACACTGAATCTACTTCAGAAAATGAGGAAGAATCATACTGTTGTGCAGTAACAATAAATACAGAATGAGTTTATATGTAGAAATTTGGTTCTTCATGAACAGAATACTGTTACAAAAATGAAGTAACTGAAATACCACAAGCTGGATTTTCCAAGAGTAGGTGGAAGTCCTATAATCAGAGCTAAAAATAGGTGTAAAATCCTACAAATGTCATCTGTTAATATCAGAAGCAAAGTGAAATTAAATAATTGTGTCGACCTGTTTGTTTCGGCAATAGTGATCTTTCCATTGACACCTTTTAAAAAATATTTAAAGTTATTACTTCCTAAAAGGGTACAGTAATAACATCCCCATATATATAGAACTATTCTACCAAGATATAAAACATTTCTGTGGAAAGCAGCTGCATCCTTCAACCAACTGGGAAATTCCATAATGATAGTTCAAAGAACTATATTCAAGCCAATTTATGATGTCAATTCAGAAATTTCACTAAGTAACTGATGCTTTTTTTTTAAGACGTTACCATTGAATGAATATTAATTTCCATGATTTCTTTTCCCCAAAAGTTCTAATTCTAAAATACTTGTGTTAGCTTTTGTTTTTACTGACTACTTTAAGGGATAACATATGGTACTTTTTAAATGCAAAACTTCTTACCTTTAAGTAAAAAATAATGTTTTCATGCTTTGGGTTTGTGATCATTTGTAAACAAAATTAAAAAGTCATCTCAATATCCAAAAGACGGACTCTGACTTTCAATAAGAATCTTCTATATGTCAGTTAGAATGATTTTAGCTGCAAATAAAGAAAACTTTACTTAAAGTGTCTTGAGCAATAAGGAAACATATTAGTTTGCATAACAAGAGATCCAAAGGTAGGGTGATTCCTGGGTTAATCTATCAGGAGATCAGCAAGGACCCAATTTTTCCATCTTTTCATATTCTGCCATTCTTGGTGTACAAATTTTATCTTCAAACTGACTTCTTTGATTATTTTGGAATGGCTGCACCAATCATCATCAGCAGGTCCAACAGACTGTGTTTTCCTCCACATCTTTCTTAGGAGTAGGTCAAAACCTTTCCTAGATGCCCTGGGTACATTTAACTACATATTTCAGTGACCAGAATCAAAATTACACACCTTTGTCAAAATCATCCACAAATGAGAAGAATGGAACCCCGTATTGTTTTAGGCAAATAAGAAATCAACCCCTGTGGCTGAGGCCAGCCTTTTCTGAAGCACATGTTTAGAAGTGTGAGTTCATGAATAATACTGAGGTTCTATTTAAAAAGATGAAGGGTAAGGACCCGAAATAAAAGAGGAGAAGGAAATGACTCACATACAGGCAACCCACCTTGCTGAGTTCTCCTTTTCAGATCCTCCTCTTCCTTCATCCCTTAGTAACAGTCTTCTACTGGTCTCTTTTAGGCTCTTAGTCTGCATTAATGTATTTTGTGTTTAATTTTTCCTCCTGTAATCTGCCTAGAGATCACTTCTGCATTCTTTTGGACTCTTAACATCTTTTGAAAGGTACCATCCTTCATTCCCATAGTAGGGGATTCTCACCACTGTTGCTCGCTCAGCCCCATTGCAACCATTTAATGAATAAATCACTGAAATGTTTTGGTGTGGGCAAGGTTGTCAGTAAAATACAGAATTCCCTGTTAAGTTCAAATTTAAGACAAATACCTTTTTTTAAAATCTAAGTGTATCCCAAATATTACACATAAAGAAAACTTAATTGACATAATTCTAAACACCTATTCATCATTTATCTGAGGTTCAAATTTAAATAAGACTTCTGTATTTTTATTTGCTAAATCTAACAACTCTAGGTGTGAGAGAATTATTTTTCTTTAGGCAGTACATGCAGTTACACAGATTTATACCCTCCTAGTCTCACTTTCCCACTCCACCCTCTCTCTTCAGTTCCAGCAGTGGACATTGACCCAGGCATGGCCAAGCAGTATATACCATTTCCTTGACTCCAGTAATGGCTAGTGGATGGGCAAATAGCCTAAATCACACAAATGAAAGTATGACCTAGGGCTTTTATGGCATTACTAAGAAAAAAAAGTTCTCTCTATTAAGCTTGAAACTGGCAAAATATAACAACATATGTATTTGAGGGCTAGTTGTTGGTCTAAATTAGCTATAGGGGGATAGTTGTTGGTCTAAGTTTAATGCCAGAAGATGAAAGTAGAGAATGCTGTTGGAGACAATAGATTATACTCCAGTTATGACTTTGAGCCTCTGAACTCAGTCATTCATCCCTGAAACCTTGGTCTTTTCATTTCCATGAACCAATAAACTACCACCACCTCATTTTCTTTCTTTACTGCTTTTTTTCCCTTTAACTCAAGACAGTTTGATATGAGTTCCTGACACGTGAAACTAAAAGAATTCTGATGAATAAGCCCATCTGTACCCTTCCTGCTGTCATCATCAATAATCCTCATTTTCCTTCCCACTCTTTTCCTTCTTTTCTCTTTACAGATATTTATATTGCATGTTATATTTTCAGCAACTTGATTATTAAATAGCCATAATATATTTACTGTATAAGGGTTTCCTCTTGCTCTATATTCATCTTTTTAAACTTATTTTTACATAGTTACATTGATTTATTTTTTATTTTATTTATTTTTTAATTGGCATGTAATAATTGTACATATTCTTGGGGTACAGAGTAATATTCCAATACATGTATAAACTGTGTGATGATCAAATCAAACTCTTCTTTAGTAAACTATTCTTAGGCTGCATGGACCTCTGAAAGTAACTATATATTCTGTTTTATCTCTCTGCTATGGGTTGAAAGTCTGTCCCCTTCAAAGTTTATGTTGGAATTTAATCCCCAACATATTTGAAAGGTGGGGCCTTTAAGAGATGACTGGATCATGAAAACTATGCCTTCATGAATGGACTGACCCATTCATGGGTTAATGGGTTAATGGTTTAATGGGTTATCAGGGGACTGGGGGCCTTACAAGAAGAGCAAGTGAGCACATAAAGAGCACTCTTGCTATTCTTGCCATGTGATAACCTGCATCTCCTAGGGACTCTGCAGAAAGTTCCTGCCAGGAAGAAGGCCCTCACCAGGTATGCCCCCTGGACCCTGTACTTCCCAGTCTCCAAAACTGTAAGAAATAAATTTCATTTCTTCATAAATTACCCAATTTCAGGTATTCTGTTATAAGTAACAGAAAATGATTTAATATACTATCAAATTAATTATTTTATTCTCTCTATTCAATTATAAATGAAGGATTTTGTTACTGGTAACTTGCTTCCTAGTTTATTTCTTCTGTTGCTCTTAATTCAGCTAAAATCATAAAGTTAATTTTAGTAGACAGCATAGTTTTTAATTTTCACATTTTAGTACTCTAAACATTTAGTAGTATTTTAGTTAACATTTTTCTTCCTCTTGACTAAATTATATTTTTTCTTACTTATGGTTTCCATAGTTGAGCTTTACTAAATCGAGGAGGGTAGTGGAAGAGTAGAGGAAGAGGTCACTATGCACGATTTACTAGACTACATTCTAGTCATCTTAGACCGTTAGAGGTTAAGGTTTTCTAAACAAGCTCAATTGCACAGAGGAGAGAGAAGATTCCATTTCACAGCTGTCAATTTCAAAGCTATGTTGTTTCTGTCAGTTGCCTTCTACATGCTACTTTATTAAAGATAGAAGATTTCTTCACCTCATACTTCCCCAGAAACTCTACATGAGCATACCAAATTTTTCTGCAACAGTTTATGGAATGATTAATAAAAATTTGAACAAGTCATCATTGCCAAAATATTAATACTAACATTTACCATTTATTCTCTCAGATAAACGTTTAAAGAAATGGACACCACTTGGGAATCCAGCAGTGGACAGGGCAAACATGGCACTGGCCCTCGCAGAACTCACACTGCAGTGTAAGAACTGTGAAGTGGGGTAACAAGAATAAAACTGGATGAGGGAAACGGGAGGACAAGTGAGGAAGGCACAATTTCAGATAAAGTGTTCAAAAGAAGGCAGCAAATAAGCAGAGATCCTGCAAAGTGATGGAGTCAGCCACATGAATATCAAAGTTATATCTGCATCAGATACACGTAAACTTTTATACATAGTACATTAATATGTATATCATAGATCTTTTAGAAGGTATAATACAAAGAAGATCAGAATAGGTTCAGGAATGTGGTAAGCAGACTTTCTAAAATGGCCCCACTAAGATGCCCTGCCCTATTCTCCAGAACCTGTGGATATATCACTCCTATGATTATGTAATATGGTACAATTAACCATAAAATAGAGGCATTATCCAGGTGGGCCTGATCTAACCTCATGCACCATTAAAAGCAGAGAGCTTTCTTGGTCCAGTGGCAGATGGGAAAGTCACACATGTGAACCAGGAGGAGGATTCAATGTGCCATTGCTGGTTCTGAAGATGGAGGGAGCCTGTGCAAGGACCAGAGAGAGGTATCTAAATACTGACAGTGAACTATGGCCAACAGCCAGCAAAGAAATGGGGACCTCAGGCCTACAAGGACAAGGACCTGAATTCTGCCAACAAACTGAATGAGCCTGGAAGTGGATTCTTCCCCAGAGTCTCCAGATGATAGTTCAGCCTGACTAACACCTTGATTTTGGCACTGTGATACTCAGCATAGAACCAGTCCAGCCACCTTGGCTTTCTGACCTACAGAATTGTAAGCTGCTAAATGGGCACTGTATTAAGCCATATTTGTGGCAATTTATTATGCAGCAATAGAAAAATAATAAAAGGAAAACTGAACTCTGGTTCCAGCTGTGCTACAATATAACTGTATGATTTCTGGGAAAGATGCTAAACTTATCTGAACCTCAGTTTCCTTATCTGTGAAATAAATGGGTTGTGCTAGAGTATCTCTAAAATTTTCTTTCTGGTTAAATTTCCATAATTAAGGGCCAGCCCGGTGGCGCACTGGATAAGTGCGCCGCTTGGGAAGCGCGGCGGCGCTCCCGCCCGAGGTTCGGATCCCACATACAGACCGGTTCCCGCTCACTGGCTGAGCGAGGCGTGGGAGCAACGCCGAGGGTTGCAGTCCCGTTGCCGGTCCCCGGTCCGGTGCGGGGACAACACTGAGGGTTGCGATCCGTTGCCGGACATGGAAAAAAGACAAAAGACAAAAAAAAAAAAAAAAAATTTCCATAATTAATAATTGGGCCATAAATTCACTATTTTAAATTATTAAATATGGCTATTATTGTTATGAATTTTAAAATTATATATGATTGATCACATTTATAATTTGATGCCAAATCCTTCAAGGATACAATAACAAAACATATTTTTACATGGGAAAAATATGATACACTTGAAGAGAAACTACATTGATGATTATGCATGATATAAACTACTTCATAAAAATGTAGAAGTCTGGTAATTTATCACAATAAGAGATAATCTTCCCATTCACCATTTAAAGAAGAGCAAAGTGTCCATAAAGTCTGGAGACATAGGCAAATATATATAGTTTGTCAAGGACATACTCAGTTTTTTCTCTAAAAAATAAAATTTTATCTATGCTTCCAGATTTTACAGACAAACTGAGTTGTCTAACAGGTAACATTTAGATCACTTAAGTAATTACATATCCACAGCACAGACCAGAATTTTATCCTGATTAAAAATTTACTTTGTATGTTTTTATTGTGATGCAATAAAATTTTATTAAAGCAGAATTCCAAATACATGGAATTAAAAGTACATATTATCATAACATTAAACTACTTCTTTAGTAATCAATCTACATTTTTTAAAATCTAAAGTGCTTATGCTCATTTGAGTAATACAGATCAAACAGTTTTAACTCATGTTCAAATGGAAGGTCAGTTTTTGTAGTTATATCATGTGTAGTCAACATATTTAAGCCATAGTAATTAATTGCAAAGACAAGTCTATGTCAGAACAATATTTGCTATCAAATACTATGAATAAAATAGTGTAATTCCTAATCCACAAATAACATTATTCAAGTTAAATTTAAAAACACAGCATTTTTATTTTTTGCATTCAAATAAATTGTTGAGTCACTCCTAAAGTAAATTTCCACTAAAGACACTTATTTGTTAAATAAAACCATTCTTAGTTTAAAGAATGAAGTAAGCCAGAGGAGAGAAACATTGCTGTATTTACATTTTACCCATATAAATGCATGCCTGAAATACATTCTCCCAGATAGTACCGGTCACACAGAAGCAAAAAAAACTGGGTATTTTTACATCTTCCATGTTTTTTTAAACATATAGAATACAGCTTTAATAGTTGTTTAAATGTTTCTGTTTGTTAATGCTAACATTTCTGTCAATTCTAGGTTGGTTTCAACAGATTGATTTTTCTCATCACTATGGGTTGCT